GGGCAGGCAGCATTTGGTTGGGCGGGGGGCAAACGTTGGTACTTTGGTTGGCGTCCTTCCTGAGTAGAGCCATCAGGAGAGGGAGGGAGGGAGGGAGGGAGGGATCCCTTCACCTGGTCCTCCCTACCTGGCCGCAGGTTAATGAACAGAGGCAGAGACAGTCAGCTGAAAAGCAGACCTTGGTAAACTTTGATCTCCCTGCGAGCCCCAGCTCCCAGAATGCTGAACATCTCCCGTCTTGAAATCCTGCCCGCGTTCCCGCCTGCAGTTCCAGCATTTTTTTTTTAATTTCCAGGATTTGCAGTGGGGAAAAATAATAAACATAATAAACTCCCCTCCCCTCACCTGCCTTCCTCTCGGGAGCCATTGCCTGAATTTTATTGGAAGGCATTGAAAGCTTGCAACTGACTCTGGCATAGTGTGAATACGCTTTTCTGCCTTTTACCATCTGCTACGGCTGTTAAAAAAAATTACATTTCCATCTGTTTTTAAACACCGCCTCCACCACCCCCACCCCCACACACACCCCGTCCCAGCAGCTCTTGATGTGCCCTGCGCTTCAGAAGCTCTTTCGGGCTACGGGCGATGGGCGCTGCTGGGGTCAAGTTGAACCAACTCAGCTGAAATTGTACAAAAAAGGATCCCTTTCCTCAATCTTGCTATATTTTCCCCACTGTTTTTCTTCTCTTGGTCTCTCTTCAACATCCACACAGAGGAACCCCAAAAGAGCACCCTCTGGTGCCACCTAGATATTGGCGGGACTGGCCAGGAGGTGGACAAGCTTTGCAGATCACACCGGAGGAGGATACGCCATTGTTCTAAGGGAAGATCTTAGATCAAGGGCAGAACCCCTGCTTTGCATAAACAGGTAGGTTCAAGCCCAACATCTGGTCTGGCTGGCAAGGAACCCCACCAGAAATCTGACACTGGGCTGCTACTAGTTGTAGGCAACAAGGCATCGGATGAAGAGTGATCTTACTTGGTCTAAAATAGCTTGACTATGGAGTGGTGGGATTAGCAATGAACTCATAGTCTAGTCTTGTTTTCCACAGGGAATGAGTCAGCCTCATTCCCCTCTTTTATTGTTACTCCAATAAAAGAAACACCCTTGTTTCTTCCCTGTATGTCCCTACTTTACCGTAAAGCAGGGTTTCTCAACTGTGGCAACTTTAAGACCTGTGGACTTCAACTCCCAAAATTCCCCAGCCAGCATGGCTGGCTGGGGAATTCTGGGAGTTGAAGTCCACTCATCTTAAAGTGGCCAAGGTTGAGGAACCCTGCTATAAAGGAAAGAAAAAGAAAGGGAATAAAGGTGGCTGATGGATGGCAAAAGATCTGAAGATCAATTCCTCTGAGGAAAAGTTGAGGAATATGTTTCACCAGGAGAAGAGCCCGTTAAGATGCAATCGCCTTGCAGCCTCACTATCTGAAGGGATGGCACCATTGTTCTGATGATTCAGCTGGTTGAACTATAGAACTTGTACCCGTCTTCACAGCGATCCTTGATGAGTGAGTTGAGTGGGCAAAATAGCAAGGGCAGAGAAGGAAGCCCACCACCACTGAGATTCCATAAACAGCACCACATCGCCACCCGTCCCTTTTGGGGGGACAAAACCTGACCTCAGGATTGTTACGAGCAATGCCCTTCACCCCTGCTCCCACTGTCTCCAACAGGACTCTCCTTTTTTAGATGTTTGAAGGAGAACCGGACAAGTCATCTCTCAGAGACATCATACTAGGAAATGTTCGCAGAGGGTTGAACTAAATCATCTTTGAAGCCCTTTCCAACTCTTCTACGAATTTAACAGTGCCACTACTCATAAGGAACCAAAGCTAAGAAAGGGCAGTTGATCTGTGATCTCCAACCCCAGCCAATCAGAAAGAAAGAAAATGGGGTTCAATCTATGAGTAGGAAGCTTTCAATTAAAGGGCCAGTATATTTTCGGAGCATCCGTTGCATTTTTCTCATTTACACCCGTCAGGCTGGCACTGTAACAAAACGTTTGCCACAATTAACTCTGCAAAAACAAACAAACAGTTTTTGACATATAAGGGGTTGGAAATGACACTTGGGTTTTTTGGATGGTGGGGGCGGGGGAGAGCGCTTGTTGTGAACAAAACAGGCAACAAATTCATAAAAATCAGGTGGAAAATTTTAATGTGGTGTAATAAAACGGTGATGTTTTATAAATATTCCACCCACTCCAGACTTGGAAAACGTGATTTTTAAAGGAAAAGCAGAACATGCCAATTCATGCTAAATCTGAAACGAAATACTCAGTCTTATCTCACGTTAAATTAAAACATTTGTCTCTCATTTGAATGAACCCAGAGAAATGAAATGACGATTGAAAACCGAACGTCTGATTTGCAAGCATTATAAAAGGGGAGTAAGTGGGAAATTGCATCTCATCTTCTATAGCTGAGATTGATTGACTAGGTGTACAATCATTGGGGACTTATTCTAGCAATCATTCCATCTCTAATAATTCAATCATGTTTCATCCGGAGTGTACAGTTGCACATATAGGTTGAGTCCATTTTAATTGCTTCATGGCACAGAGTTGGTGGAGAGAGTTTTGATGCCTTTGATCAAGAGTAAAAATCTGGCTATGGAAAAGAACGTGGTTCATCATATTCCACCACTGATCTGATGAAGTCAGTCATGACTGAAACAAATGGCGATCTCTTCTGTCATTCAGCTTGTATTACAATCGTTCTACCCACAGCACCCACAACACTATTTTTTCTCTCTCACTGGCTGTGAACGATGTCCACGTGGCTTCAATTCAGGCATTAGTGGCAAGGAAGACTACCTTTCCTTGGAGCTCCAACAGAGAATTTTTGTGGCTGGCTCAAAATAATCCTCCTTTCCCAATATTTAATGAAACCTTAACAGACTTAATTGTGGGAAGAGGACATCTGTTACTCCTGAAAGTCCACTAAATTCAAGAGTCCATCACTGCAGATGACACCAGTGATGCAAACCAATGCAAACCACATTTATTTGTATAATGATTTCATCCTGCAAATCACAATGGAATTTCACTCATTGCATGCGGTCTGGAAAATCAAGGTTTCAGCGTACTGCTTATACTGTGAGTTGAGTCTGTTCTCTCCAATCTAGTATCCCCCGGGTGTGTTGGACCACAGCAACCATCACTCCCAGTCAACGTGGCTCCTGGAGGGCACCAGCCTATGACTGCCTTCTTCAGCTTGGTGCCTTCTGTGGATACACCAGGCTGCAACTCCCAGAAAAAAGATAGAGGAAGGATGCCAGGTTGGAGGGAACCAGATATTGCCCCCATCCTGCTCCATACCATGTCTGCCCTGTGTTGTAGATGTCTTACAATGTGGGGTATACTTTTCACAGCTGATATTGAAGTGTTTGAAGGAGACCTCAGTCTCTGGGAGGTATCTCCAATTGTCCTGCAAGTATAGAGCCCTATTATTTGAGGAGCTCAAACTAAATAGGATCTCCACAACCATCTTTCCCAATCCCACCCAATTAGCCCAATTTCCAAGCGGGCTAGCAAAAGGATGACAGACGTTAATGACTCCCTACCAGGCCTATGGCTTCTTTACTCTTGGAGAAAGTTCCCCACTTGTGGTCAGGTCTTGCTAAAACACATTCCCAGATTCTTCATTAGTTGCTTCTAAGACCTAGAGATCGTCTCTATCCAAAAAGAAGGATCAGGTGAGAGAAGCAAGGGCATTTTTCCTCCTTCCACTCACTACCTCAGAGCAAAGCAAACTTGTGTTGTTTTGCTAAACCGGCCTTAGGTTCCATTTTGCAGAGGGACGTCTGCTGGAAGGGTCGCCCAGTCCAAGTCCGCTTTAAATACAACAGACCAAGTGAAGGGAACAATGAGAACTTGGTGTTGCTCACGAGCAGAGAGGGCCAAAACAGGAGATGGAGCAGTAGCAAAAAACATCATCTGACTACAGACGTATTTGCTCTTGAAATTGTAGCATTTCCCCTTAAAACTGCTTTTATCCACCTGCAGAGCCCATGCACCATCTGTGCAAATCAGTGCTCCTTCGATTCTGACAATGACCGATTAATTAGCCTAAGCTGGGCCCAAGCTGACCAACACCACTAGCAAGGACCTGAAAGCAACAAGCAGGTCTTGTTGCAAAATATCTCCCCATCTATTCCTCCCCAAAGCCATCAATCACCGCAGGTCTTCTTCCAAGTAGACGCTGGCTTGGCGGATTCCTTGAACGTCCCTTTGCCTGTTACAGGTAGGCAACAGTGCCATGGTCTCAAGAGGGAATGAGGTATATGTCAAGCTGTTGGTCCATTTTTAATCAACCTGGCAAGGGGAGAAGAAAAGGGAGGAGGTGTTTGGGAAACTCAGAGGCCTCGGACAGTTCCTGAGCTGTTCAAGCGCTACGTTCTCTAACAATGCCACCAAGCGCCTGTTCTCTTTGGCTTGGAGCCAGGAGGCTGCATGTCCACCTCTGCCTCAGCAGTTGTCCTGTGGTTCATCATCACCCAGGCTGGGGTTTCTCAAGAGTGCCTTCCCCGTGGGGGTCGGAGGAGTGATAATAATATCTGGGACTCTTAGCCTTTTCTCAGCCATGACAGCCACCTCGCCGCTGCTGACACCACCACCACTCACACACAGTTTGAAGCCTGAAAGAGAGAGACAGTGGGGATTATCCAGGCACTTGGCACTGGCACCTGGCAGCAGTCGAGAGATGAAGTAAGTTCCCTGGGTTTCACACAAAGGAGTTTGTCCTCGTCATGAGGTCAAGGCAAAGTAATGGCAGGTGGATTTTGATCCTTCCAAGTCTAATTTTAAGGAGCAGTTAGGAAGAGTCAAGAGGTCTTCATGATATGCTCCAGACTATGGGCTGAATCACTGGCTGTTGGAAATGATCAAGGCTCTTCTCCAGAAATCAAAACCTTATTTGCTATTTTGGTTGCTTGGTCCAACTAAAAGTTGTTCAGTGGTCCCACACACTGATCTCTCATTGATGTGTTCATGGTCTGCCACTGATGGAGGAAGAGCCAGAGATGGAACTTTCTGGGATTAGCTCTTGTCACTCGATGCAGAGAGCAAGAAAGATGACCTTGATGGAGATAGGTAAGATCTGATACCAAAGTGACAAGGAGAAAAACATGGTTTAAGTCCAAAACAAGCAGAAAGTATGTGTTAGTAGCTCAGATAGACACCTCCCTAATTCACATGGGTATAAGAACAGGGGAAGGCCCAGCGCAATCAAACTTGCAAGATCCTGTTATTATAGCAATCTCAATAAAAGTAATCTTAATCCTCCTGTGAAGATGATTCTTGGTCTGGTCAACCTGATGGTGCTGACTCTCTCCAACCATATTACATTGACAAGATTTCCATGATTGAAACATTCCAATATGAGGAACAGCCTTTCTCATCTTGGAATGGAAGCCAGGATAGACATCTTGTGATAGGAACATTTCCACATGAAACAGTCAGCACGCCTCTCCTGACTTTTTCCAGGATCCCTTCAGGTTTATAATTTATAGTTCAAATTTATAATTTAACCTTCAGGTTAAATGATAACCTACAGGACCTGGACATGTTTGAGGACCACTTCATTACAATAAGAATAAAAAGGTGACTTGTGAAAACAAAGCAAGGGTTAGTCCTTTGAGGTAGACCAAGTCAGGAAACAGACCCCACCAGTTTGACTGGAGCTCTACTTTATTGGTCTACGCCAAAGTTTCTCAACCTTGGGAGCTTTAAGTTCTGTGGACTTCAACTCCCAGAATTCCCCAGCCAGCCTGGCTGGCTAAGGAATTCTGGGAGTTGAAGTCCACACATCTTAAAATTCCCCAAGGTTGAGAAACACTGGTCTGTGCTCTAATAACAGAATCTTGAAAACCTGAGTGTTTTCCCTTCCCTCCCTCTTATACTTCCATAAATCTGGGGGGTGGGCAAACCAGTCTAAGCTCCTTCCTCACCTTTCCTCTGTTTCCTGGGCTTAAAGCATGATTTTGTTTGGTAACCATTTCTGTATAGTTTCTTCAAGGTCATCTCTGTGGTTCTCTGCAGCAAAAAGCAAGACAGGCAGCAAAGAAGCGGCAGAACTTAACGTCAAGTCTGAGACGTCTTCTGAGCTTTGAGCCAAATGGCCTTTCTGCACCCCTCCCCCTGCAGCTGACCCAGATTGTCTCCCCTTTCCCTTGTTGACCTATAGCTGATAGACCATCCCCTTGTCTCTCTGCAACCAGATAGACTCCTCGCCTCTTCCTTAGTCGCTGTCCACGCAGTCAAGGCGAGCTTGGAGACCCAAGATCTACCACGTCCGAGCTGGCCGTCCTGTTATATGGTGCCTTCATCATGATAAGGACAACTCCAGGTGATATTTAGTGACCTGGGTTGCACTGAATATAAATTACACTTTTGCAATGATATGCAGCTGCTTCCAACAATAAATGATAGATATCCACATCTTTGCTAGACACAAAGTCAAAAATGTTGTACGGGTGTCCTCTAGTGGGCACGCAAGGTAGGACTGCCTCTGGTCAGATACCGCATGTGGGGTTAATTCTGGGGCCATCACCCTTTCCTGATCAAGGGAAAATATGCCGTGAGAAATCAGGGGGATGGCTATCACAGTAAGCATCCTGGGGATAATTTGGGACGTGGGGAACGCAAGACAAAGATTAAGAGATCCAGCAGTACAAGCTGAGGGCTAGGACCGCTTGGGCAGAGCTACACTGACTACAATAAAAATGGCTATTGATGGGATCATGCCCAAAGAGGGCTGTGTGCGTGTCTCGCAGCAGGTGACCTCTTAGTGGAGAGATTTCTGCAGACTGAAGGGGCACGCTAAAAACTGAATGTTGCTCCGTGGATTCCTCAAAACATGGCATTTAAAGCTGATCAAGGGATTACAACTTGGTTGCAAATTTCACAGTTCAACCATGCACGGTGTGAAAAAGGTTTCCATGTATTTGTTGTGAATCCCCTACGAGTTAGCTTCATTGGGATCTAGGAGAGGGAAAAGGTCTGCTTTTTCTTAAGCCATGAATCGTTTTCTTTATCTATCCCCCTTCACTGGCTTTTTTAAAGTGAAGCAACTCCAAATATTACTATTCGTCATAATGAAATCCCTCTAGTTCCTTGGTTGTTTTGCCTGCTCTTCTTTGCACCTTCTCTGGCTCAACGACATGTAATATAAACTCAGCATCATAAACGGTGTCATGACCAGAGCAGAACTAAATCCAAACAGGGTTTCCTTATTTCCATTTCAATGCTTGGCTTCCAGTCTTTGTATTCAGGTTGGACAATTTGCTTTCAAGGGAAAACTGCCTTGAGGGTTCATTGTCAAAAGTGGGCAGGATAGAAATTAAGCAAGCAGAAAAATAGACAAGTTAGCCTGCCTTTGCTCTGAGGACTTATTTTGGAAGCAGCGTGTTTTGAGTCGGAGAGTTACTCATTTCGCTGCCCCAGAGGGATTTGCACAAGAGGACAGATGCACACTTGCACCAGTCTCACTTCAGCTGTGCTTTGACGGGAGATCCTGCGTCACCCAAGACGTACTTCTCAGCAATCCTCCCTCCCAGCTTGCCATATGATTGTTTAAGCAGAACAGGCTCAACAGGCTATTAACAAGGGAACTGTTTGTTTGGAGATCAATAAGAGGTCTTTCTGTCCAGCTGGTGGATAAACCTGCATTCAGGGCCTGAAGCCAAAATCTTCAGTCCCCCAAACGGATGTAATTTACAAATGCATTTGCAGGCAGGGCACAGCGAGCCACGGGCATTTTGCGCAGAAAGGGTTTGGCTTGGTCCCTGCTAGGTTCACGGCAAACATTGGGGGCACATTGAATGGTTTTAGGACATGCGTTGATGAGGCAAAGGGGGTCAGCCTTCTCAGCCCCCAGCTTCTTGTGTGTCGAAGAGGGTTAAGTTTTGAGGTTGAGCCTCTGGGATCACATCCTGGGTTGTGCCTTTCACCCTCAAAACGAAAAGAAATGGTGCCACTGATTTTCAGGCATGGGGGTTAGAAGGGGGGGGGGTGTTAGAAAATGGGCTCAGGTTATCCTCCCAGGCTGCATCCAGATATCCCCCAACCAAGAGCATTTTTACCTAATCTGGATTCTGCTTCAGTTTACATTCATCTCATTTGAGTCTGATGTCACACAGCAGCTGAGATTTTCCCTTAATGACCCCCAAGATGGTTCTATCACTGAATCCAAGTTTCTAATAGCCCCCATGAAGGATCTGAGGACTGAAATAAAACTGTACCATGGAGAAGAAAGGCTACAGAACCTAAATGGGAGTTTTGCTTTGCCTGGAACGAGCAGTACCGTCTTCTGCGGACAGATGGTTTGGCTAATGGGTTAACCTCAGCTGTCCCAACTTGGTGCCTTCAAGAGACCTTTGGCTAGGTCCCAAAGTCCATGCTGGTTGGAGGTTTGGGGGACTTAAAGACCAACAGCCCGGAAGCCATCAAACTGGAGAAACTGCTTCACAGGGTCCTTTGCTGTGTGTCAGAGTATCAAGAAAATGTAAGTCACACAAGCATTTTTCTTGCTTGTTATATGATGGCATTGAAATCCACCCAGAACCATGCTGCTCACTGGTTGATCTCCTCCCATTTATACTTTTATACCTTAATCTACTTGCTAGGATTATGATAGGAATAAAAAAAGTTGGGGAGAGGAACGTGTGAGTGAGGGCTGTCTGAATCTTCCTCGAGAAAGCCAGAGGATGATCAAAATGCAAAAAAATAGATACGGGGAGGGGCACATAAACTGATTCCTGTTGTGCGTGACCATTTATGGGCTGCAAACCATGACATAAGGAATGATGCTAAGGACTGCAAAAGGCCATTGTGGTATTCTCAGAGGCTGCTGGAAGCTTGAGATGGTGATCAGGGAATAAAGTCACGGTGGGATCCCTACTGAATGCGTCGCATGAGCAGAAACATTCAAGACTATACGTTTTCAGTTGCGTGTACTCTTAACCTCTTTTCTACAAATTTTGAACAACTTCCTTTGGTTCCTTTGCGAGGCAAGGTCTTAGCAGCACCTTTGGACTTGCACTGGATTGGAAGAAGATGAGCGTGGTTTTAAAATGGGAGGGAGAAACATCAATAACCTGCACTGTGCTGATGACACGGCCCCGATAGTCGAAAATGCAAAGGATCTGCAAGCCCCAGTAGAAGTCAAGGAGCACAGTGAAAACAAGACTAAAATTAAATATAAAGAAGGCCGAACGAATGACAACAGTTTGAATCACCAGCTTTAGAATTGGCAATGAAGGTATCAAAGTGGTGGATAGTTTCTGTCTTTTAGGATCAACCATCAATAGTAAAGGAATAAGCAGTCAGGAAATATGCTGTGGACCAGCACTTGGTAGAGCACCATCAAGGCCTTTGAAAAGATATTCAAAGGCCGTGATGTACAAAGATCAGGATCGTGCAAAGAAAGTTGGACTTTGAAGAAGCAGGATAGGAAGAGTACTGATGCTTTTGAACTTTGGTGTTGGAGAAGACTCCTGAGAAGACCATGGAGAGCCAAGAAAACAAACTGATGGATCATCAAACAAATCAACCCAGAGTTCTCACTCAAGGCACAAATGATCAGGCTCAAATGATCCTACTTTGGACACATGATGTGAAGACCCAGCTCTCTGGAGAAGGCCCTAATGCTGGGAAAGGTGGAAGGAAAGAGAAGGAGAGGACGACCAGCAGCAAGGTGGAGGGACTCAGTTATAGCGGTGATGGCTGTTCTCTTGGAAGACCAAGAACCAGGATGGGGACAGATCATCATGAAGAAAATCTATGTATGCGGTTGCTAAGAGCTGACAACAACTTGATGGCACAAAATCAGTCAGTTGGGTTTGCGTGTTTTTCAGTTCTGTATCCGCTTATTTATTTAATTTATGAAGCACTTCATAAAGGACTTTTCTCCAGGCACAGGGGACTGTCATCTAAACCATAATAACAAGTACAATAAAATCACTACACCCAAGTCAACAAGCACACTGAAACAGAACAAAATAAATGAATGCAACTCTCCCACCCCTGTAAAACATAACGAGATACAAAGGTTAAGACTGTGCTGCAGAGATTAAAATGTTTGCATTTTAAATAGGAACATAATTTAAAGGTCTGTAGGAATAACAAGAGTTGTTGGGAGTCGGGGAGGGAGGGAGGGAGGGAGGGAGGGAGGAAGGAAGGACGGAAGGAAGGAAGGAAGGAAGGAAGGAAGGAAGGAAGGAAGGAAGGAATTTTAGCCTGGCGCTGAAAAGGCAACACATTGGTCAGTGGATGAGTTCTTCTGATTTTTCTTCCAACAGATGAAATTTCTATTAGGTAGTATCAAAATGTAAACAAATGAGTCAGGGGCAACTGTAGGATGTGGTCAAAAAAGTCAAGCTGGTGGCTATGATGGTACGATTGAAGCTCTGCCTATTGTTTAGATGCATCAGCCGAGGTCAGCTAGGGTCTGCCACCCGCTAAGGCTGAAAGTCAAACCTGTTTCCTGCAGGTTAAGCTTAATTCCTGGTGACTTTGTGAATCTGCCCATGTGCTTTTGTTAGCCACTGCCTTCTTCCCCCGTGGACATCCCTGGCTGCCTAAAGCCACAGGCTTCCTGCCCAAGGGCAAAGGAGATCTGACCTGTTAGCTTCGGCAGCCAGCTAATGCCAGCCAGGTGCTGCCGCTTCACAGCCTGAAGTGCAAAGACGTCCTAGCCGCCCGCACCAAATAAAATGCCTTAAAAAGCAAACCTTCAGGAAAAACAAAGGGCTGAGATGGATTGTCCTGGGGCAAAGAACCAAATTGCAGAGTGCCTGGAAAATAGGGAGAGTTGGGCCATCTGGCAGAGGTTTCACAGGGATATATTTCCTGATGGTCGCACCTGTTGGCTGATCCTTCTGGAGAAGAGAAACATTCCTCTGAACCGCAGCTTCGGAACCTGTCATCCCAAAGCGGGCATGAATTATCCATGGCCCCCGGACCGATCTGGAAAGGCCTGTGGCTGCAGCATGGTTCTCGGGGAGGAGCGGGGAGCCAGCCTGGCCACCCATCATGCTAGAAGACCTCCCTGGGAAGGGGAACCAGCAGGCGCCGGGCCTTTAGCTCTGCATTAAAGCTGACAGCACCCGCTGGCACCGGGGCTACGCAGCAGTAAAAAGCTAATGGGCAATGCAATATTTAGCATTTGTCCCAATTACCCAGCAAGAGAGCGGAGCACATTAAAAGGGGGGGGGGGGAAAGGAGGAGGAGGAGGAGGAGGAGCTACTCTGTGAATGGTGGGAGGAGGAAGAGGAGGAGAGGAGGAGGGGGAGGAGGAGGGGGAGAAGCTACTCTGTGAATGGTGCTTCAAGAAGGAGAATGAGGAGGAGGAGAAGAAGAAGAAGGAGAAGGAGAAGCAGCTTGTGAATGGTGCTTCAAGGAGAAGAAGGAGAAGGAAGAAGAAGAGGAGAAGCTACTCTGTGAATGGTGGAAGAAGAGGAGGAGGAGGAGGAGGAGAAGGGAAGAGGAAGTAGCTACTCTGTGAATGTTGCTTCAAGAAGTAAAAGGAGGAGGAGGAGGAGGAGAGGTAGGGGAAGGAGAAGAAGCTTGTGAATGGTGCTTCAAGAAGAAGAGGAGGAGGAAGAAGAAGTGGAGGAGGAAGAAGAAGAAGTGGAGGAGGAGGAGGAGGCTGTTACTCTGCGAATGGTGCTTCCATTCCTCCTCTACCTCCAACTCCCACCTTGGGGCAGAGGAAGCTGACTACCTCCGCAGGGCGCTCGGCTCGGGTGTCTCCCTCCGCATCAGCTGCCTTTGTTCTGCCAACTCACTCATCTAGCTGGCTCCGGACAATACAACTGACCAGAGAGGCCACGCTTTCCGCTTTCCGAGGCCTGGTTGCTGGACGCCCTGGGGGAGGAAAGGCGGGGGGAATACACTTCCACTACATTACTTTTAAGATGGGGGGGCTTCTTAGGGGCGTTGGCCTCTGCACCGCTTTCCCACTTTCAGGAAAGGAGACCAGCCCCCCCCCCCCACCGCTTCAGCCAGGCTTTTAAAGTTGCGCAGATCACTTTAATTGGTTCTTAATGGGCTGCATTTCGGTGGAGATTGCAAGCGGCCATGAGCAGGAAGCAGCAGGGAGATCTAAATCGAAACCCCCCGCCCCTGCGGGCTGCCAAAAGGAGCAGCCCCTTGGGGTGCTGAGGCATCGCCAACAGAATCCAAAGTGGGGGGGTGGGGAGCAACTGCTTAAGGCTCGCAGGTCTTCCTGGGCTCCCTTCTCTCCCAATGGTGAATACAGCTCTTTTATCCCTTCGTTTTTGCATCCATCGGAGCTGCAGGACACTCAACTGACCGCAAGAGTTCCTGCCAAGTCTGATTTTAACCAGATTGGGGGGGTGGGATGGCGAGGGGGATTTTGCAGATATCGTAGGTGGCTTTTGGCTCCGTGTTATGGCAGTCATAAAACCTTCCCGGCTCGAACGTCAAGCCTGAGCGAACGAGCCCGGAAGTCCTCGCCCAATTTTTCAGAAAGGAAAAAAAGGGAGACAATTCAGCCGGGAGCTTTTCAGTTTCAACAGACACCATGAGTGACGGGTTGCGTGTCTTGGGGACGGGCTGCTTCGTTTCCGGTTAACACGGTATCCGGTTGGGCAACGCACAGCCCTCCGACCCGCTTTGCAATCCCCAGAGCTTCTCAATGCTCTCCCCAGATCGGGCTGCCGACATCTGGGAGAAAGTTGCGAAAAAGCACGATGCTCTCCAGATGGGCTGAGGGCCCCTAAATACAGACATAAATAAATCCGTCCAAACTAAACAACTCTGAAACCAAACCCAAACAACGCTAAACAGTGGGGAGAAACAACTGTAAGACAAAAAGAAACATCTACTTATTTGCAGAATGCAATTGCTCCTGTTCTCCCAAAGCCCCAAATCATTTTTGAAGTTCAGGACTTGGCTCATCCCGGTCAAGGACCAGCTTTGCTAAAATAAAGACATCCTGCATATGTTTAGAGGGCTCTGTATGTTTTATATCAGTGTTTTTCAAACTTGGCAACTTTAAGAGGGGCGGACTTCAACTCCCAGAATTCCCCAGCCAGCCATGCTG